CTACATTCTTTATTCCAGCGTATCATTCTCCTATTCATCCATCTCGTTCTTAATCTCCCTCTCTTGCTCTCTTTAATTTCATTCACTCTCTCTCAAGCATACTTACTTACACATTCACTCACAAACAATCACTTTCTCTCTCTCCCTCTCTGTCTCTATCTATCTATCTATCTTTTTCTTTCTCACTCTCTCTCTTTCTATCTGTCTATCTATCTTTCATCTATCTAACATTATCTCTCTATATATCTATCTTTCTCTCTCTCTCTCTCTCTCTCTCTCTCTCTCTCTCTCTCTCTCTTTCTTTCTTTCTTTCTTTCTATCCATCTATCTATCTTTTTCTTTCTTTCTCTCTCTTTCTCTCACTCTGTCTCTCTCTTTCTTTCTATCTATCTATCTTTTTTCTCTCTCTCTCTTTCTCTCTCTCTCTCTCTCTCTCTTTCTTTCTTTCTATCCATCTATCTATCTATCTTTTTCTCTCATTCTCTCACTCTGTCTCTCTCTTTCTTTCTATCTATCTTTTTCTCTCTCTCTCTTTCTTTCTATCTATCTCTCTCTCTCTCTGTCTCTCTGTCTCTCTCGCTCTCTCTCTCTCTCGCTCTCTCTCTCTCTCCCTCTCTCTCTTTCGTGTTGACTTAGAACAGAAACTACAAATAGCGACTACTTGGGTGATTTTTACGTCCACCTTGTAGGTCATTTATGTCAACTCATAAATGACAAACATGGATTATTTTTGAAATCTTTAAACACCCTCACGCCCGGCATGAGAAAAGTGATGCAGAATGTGAAATGTCGAATGGATTTGTACGTACTGAAAAACTGCCAGACTAAATGTATCGATATTTTTAATTCAATCGGTGTAAGGCGACAAAGAGACAGTTAGGGAGAATAAAAAGTTCATCGGCGATCAAACCATCAAGATTTAACTATTATTGGCGTATAAATTTTCCATTAAAATAGTGTAAAAATTACAAAGGGTGAATAGTTTTATCATTTTTTTCCATTGAATACATCGTAATTTTTCGTTTTCTGTTTCCATCCTCACAACATACAGAAAAAATGTTTATTTTCCCAGTGATTAATTTATTAGCTAGTTAGTTTTCCAAAATTAATTTTCAGCACAAAAAAGAGCAATCTTTCTCAACCTCTAGTTAGTTATATAAATCAAAATTGATAGAGCATTATCCGATAATTAAACTGTCTAATCAACTATCGAAAAAATACGCACGCATTACTAACCAAGCAAAGATTTATTCTTTTTTATTCTTCGTCAAATTGATAAATGCTTTTCCAGTTCTGTTGTTTCTTCTTCCCGTCAATATCTGTGCAGGCTTGTTTCTGCTACTCCGAGTCTATATGCCTCCGGAGTCTGCTGTGCCCAGTATGTGAAACAGAGACGGAGTGAGTGAGATCGAAAGAGAACATGATAGATTAAGGAATGAGATTAAAAGAAAGCCAGTGAGAGATCGAAAAAGTGAGTGGTGAGTGAGTGGTGAGTGAGAGGTGAGTGAGTGGTGAGTGAGAGGTGAGTGAGTGAGTGAGTGAGTGAGAAAAAGATAGATATATAAAGATAGAGATAGAGATAGAGATAGAGATAGAGATAGAGAGAGAGAGAGAGAGGGAGAGAGAGAAAGTGATTTTTATTTTTTGTAAATTAAAAAATACTTTGACCTTCTTCAAATTTTCTCAAGCCTGTATGCGGCAATTAAAAATCAATTTATATTACGTCGCGCTGATTGGCCATTTGGAATTCTTTATTCTTGCGAGAGTTTCGGCATGAAATTAAATTATAGCAAGGAGAATACGTTAACTTTAATATTTTTAAACGTAAAATATTCACTCGCGTCTACATATTCAAGACGAGAATTCGTACAAGACGTGCCAAATTTGTCACTATATCCACACAAAAGGCTATGAGTAAATAACAAGGCACATAAATCATCGTAAACAGCGGAAAAAGGAGCAGTAAACAACACATCATCGTAGAGTTATGCGTGACCATGGACGTGATTTTAGAGCTCGACGACCCGAATTTTGCCGAATTAGATGGAGCCCCTTACGTTCAATTAATTACTACTGTAATCGAACTTTTCCATTGTTCATTCCGAGTAAATCGTGTGACATTCACCGAAAGCACGATAATCTAACACGATCCAACAGCACTCGGAACAACAGACAAGTCTTTTGCTTTGTAAAGTTTAGAAGTATACATGGGAGAGAGTAGGAGAAGAAATTTGAAGAGCTTAAAGAGATAGTCAGTAGGAAAGAAAAAGGTACATGAAGACAAAAACTGAGACACAGAGTAGAATAGGGTGAGAGGAAAGAAGGAAAAGGAGAGGGAGAAAAAGGGGAGAACACGGAAAGAGAGAGAATAAATGCGAGAGAAACAGAGATAATGTTAGGGAAATAAAGAGAGAGAGAAAGAGAGAGGGAGAGAGAGATTAGGAACGAGATGAGTACGCAAGAGTGAATAGCAGAATGATACGCAGCAATAAAGAATGTAACCATGTTGGTGGTGGTACTCTTTTTACCACATTTTGTCATTTGTTACTGCATCAATTTTTTAAGTGTACAAGAACGTCTTCGTTTACATATACACACTGAGAGGGAGCCTCGGTGAGACAGTGAGAATGTAACAGAAAGATAGACATAGCATGAAATATAAAGAGTCGAAGAAAATGACGGAGAGGGAAAACAAGAACGTGGTATTTAAAGAGTGAGAAATTAAAGGATAGGGAATAAGAAATAATAATCTTTATAATTATCGTAAGTGAGGTGAGGGGGTCTGAGAAAGAATCGAGTAGAAAGAGAGATAATGGGTTTAGAAAAAAGGACAGTTATTATTCTTTTAGATCCTTAAATAGGACTTAACGTTTTGATTATACTTTACCTACCTTCTTTCGCTTAGTACATGTTTGCGGAATTAATTATCTCCTTTTTTTAATATTTTCAATTGGATCAAGTGTTGTTCGTTTATTTTCCCACTTGGGATAAACGTCTGATGGTAGGTTTAGGGTTTAAGGGTTGGATCCTTGTTTTCCTACATTATTATTACTGGGAGTTTTAATGAAATCCGGATTAAAAGGACTAATAATGGGCAACGCATCTGAGAAATCCTACTTGAGTACGTAATACTGTAAATTTGTCTTTGAAATTTGACAAAATATCTTTTTTTAATATTTATTAAACATTCTCTTCAGTGCTCTTCATCTTTTCCTCTCATTTTTGAGCGATAGGTATACCGTACATAATACAACAAAAATGTTGGCTGATTTTTTTGTAGAGATGGGAGGTGGCAGGGGGAATCATTCACACAACTAACTCACTCACCCTCTCACTAACTAATTCACCCACTCGCTCACTCTCTCTCTCTCTCTCCCCCTCACTTACGCGTTCACTCACCCTCTCACTAACTCACACACTAACTCACACACTCGCTCACTCTCACTCTCTCTCCCTCACTCACGCGTTCACTCACCCTCTCACTAACTAACTCACACACTCGCTCACACTCTCTCTCTCCCTCACTCACGCGTTCACTCACCCTCTCACTAACTAACTCACACACTCGCTCACACTCTCTCTCTCCCTCACTTACGCGTTCACTCACCCTCTCACTAACTAACTCACACACTCGCTCACTCTCACTCTCACTCTCTCTCTCTCCCTCACTCACGCGTTCACTCACCCTCTCACTAACTAACTCTCTCTCTCTCTCTCTCTCTCTCTCTCTCTCTCCCTCCCTCCTCCTCTCACTCACCCTCTCACTGACTAACTCACTGATTCTTTTTCTCTCTCACTCTCACTCTCTCTCTCTCCTCCCTCTTTCTCTTTCTCTCTCCTCTCCTCTTCCCTTCTCTTCACCCCTCCAAAACAAATATTGCATTTGATTCCTTTAAAAGTTTTTTCAATGCGTATTACTGGAATATTCAGAGTACCGAAGTTCGACTCGTTGAGAGGGCACAGTACATTAGTTATAGTACGTAAGTCTTTCTGTTGATTCCATATACCACAGTCGAACAATACGAGGACTTACTTTTTAGTGGCTGAAATATGGCTTATGACCATTTTTAGCTGAATAGAATCGAATTGGGTGGAAAATGACTTACTGTATTGCTCTCAATCACTCCCACTCACTCACTCATTTACTTTCACTCACTTACTCGCGCACTCTCTTCATAACTCACTCACTCTCCCTCTCACACTCTTTCTCACTCACTCGCTCACTAACACACTCACTTACTCTCTTTCTCCCTCCTTCACTCACTTACTTTCACTCTCTCTCTTTCTCTCTCTCTCTCTCTCTCTCTCTCTCTCTCTCTCTCTCTCTCTCTCTTTCTCTCTTGCTCTACACATACACATACTATCTCTTTCACTTCCTTACTCTGTCACTCACTCACTCACTCACCCTCTAACTCACGTACTATCTCTCCCTCCCTAACTCACTCACTTGCTATCTCATTCTCTCACCACAATTTATTAAATTTTGTAAAGACCAAAGGAGTCTAAACCATAATAAATGCCTTATGTAAACTGTATAGCTCCCGTTAAATGTAAGAAAGGCCCAACACTTCTAACTTTGCGTGATTCAAAAAAACAATCTCTCTCTCTCTCTCTCTCTCTCTCTCTCTCTCTCTCTCTCTCGCTCTCTCTCTTTCTCGTACGCGAAAACTGGACTTTTAATGAAGAGTCGGCGTAAAAGGACTATTGTATAATGGGCACGACATCGGAGAAAACCGGTTGATGGTCGGGAGCCGGTGCCAAATTCCTCTCCCTCCGTCTTAAAACGTAGATACGAGTACATTGACAGCTCACCGGGCGTACGCCGACCATCGACATCCAGCCATACAGGTGCGTGGACATCGCGATCGGTTTATAAACACTTGTTAATCCGTACTTAAGAAGTGCAGGATTTAACTTCGGAGCCCCCTCCTCAGTGTCGAAGGACGACTGCCCCCTCTACGTTTTCAGGGTTTGAAATGGTTTAAGAAAATACAGAATACAGATAAGCGCGTTCCGTGCTGCGATGCTATTCCTTAGGCGGGCGGTTTAAACGATTATACTCGATTTCATTTTAAAAAAATCATAAAAAGGACACGTTTGACTTTTTTTAACGGGGTTAATTCTTCCACGTGACTCCTGCCGTCTGTGGGCTTAGTGTTCCTGCGAATCTCGACTCCAGTTTTAATCGTGCGAAATGGAGTGTTACAGAAGGTGCTAATCGGTCGTAAATGATAAAACGTTATAAAAATATGAGATCGTCCTTTCAGATTGGCCTTTCAATGGCGTAATTGCCACTTTTAACCTTGAGATAACAAATAACAAACCGTCACGATTGGCTAATGATATAGTGTTGCGAATTTATTAGAATAGTTCAAATGACTATTTATGACGGACGGAGTCTCGTGATCCTCGGCACAAGTATTCTGCGTCGGATGCAATTCGATTTAATTCCATTCTAAACGGATTATATTTATTTATTTATTTATTTTAAATATATTATTTATCTCACTCTAACATACTCAGCTTTTTCGCGAATGAACAGCCCTCTTCGACTTTGACAAGGGAGAGGAAAAGAGAAAAATCCGTGGAAAAAAGGCCGCCTCGACGAGTAAACCCCCCCTTCAGACTGTGTGATCCGATCCTCGTGACACGATATCACACTTAGTGCCGTTCTCGCTTAATCGACTTGTTTGGAAAGTTCATTAAAAGTAAGGTTTGCCTTGTGCTGGTAAAAAAAAAAAGTTTTGGAGTAAAATTGAGTGTTTTCATTGAAAAAAAAGTTTACAGGTGGAAATGGGAAAACTCACGCCTATTCATCGCCTACTTCTTCAGACAGAGGTACAGTTCAATTTTATGTAAATATATATTTTTTTAATTAACTACTTAAATTTACTTGTTACATTTTATTTAAAAAAAGCCTGAGACACTATAGAATTTTTTTTTAATTTAACACCGCATAAAAAAAATCAAAACTATGGAACTGTAATTTTTTTTTAAATTTAACCTATATTCGTTTTATTAATCTTAAATAAACATTTTTTCCCAGACGATGAAATTTTTAATCTAGAAGTAACATGTGTCTTCATACAAAGCCTACCACACGCTAATTTGCCCATAAACAAAATTTAAAAAAAAAACATATAAACACTGTATATCCACTTAAAATAAACATTTACAATTTTTTTTTCAACATTTCAATCAAGACTTTACAAAAAAAGAATAATAAATTAAAAGAAGTAACTTGGTCGCTAAACATAATGAATTAATGTATACATAGTGATCAAAAATTTATTGGAGGATATATCCCCAAGGATTTCGTGTCATTCTCAAAACGTTAGCAACTATTGAAATATAAATCGTAAAAAAATTAATCTGACAAATCCAATAAAAAAATAAATAAAATATATTTTTTTAGATTGAGACTGTGAAAATTGTAATTAAATGTTTAATATCCAGCAGTAAATTGGGTCTTTTTGATACAAAACCTACCATTGGCCTAAAATCAAATTTAAAAAAAAATATATATATATTAATATATATAATTTATATGTAGATAGATGTACATGTAATAAATTTAATATTGATTCATAATTTATTAGTACAAAATCACTAATTAGTTCATGTTATTCTCAAACGATGACAATATTGAAACAGAAAGCCGTTCTATATTGAAATTTTTCCCTGATCCTAACGCTACATAACCTTACCTTACACGTCCCTAACCCTACCCTACGTAACCTAGCCTAACCCATCCACCCTCCCCGATAACGCGTAAATAATTCATGTATCCAGCCCAAAAACATATCAATATTAAAATATCGACTTAAAAATTGAGCAAATCAATTCTACTCGCCCCATTTAAATATTGTGATCATTAAATAAAAACTCCATGTATGCAATACAATAAAATTTTATACAACCAAAGTTTCATTGTGTCGTCGATATTTGATTTTTAAACTTTTTTTATACAAAGCCTACCAAACTCATTTGGCCACAACATTTAAAAAAATTAAATATCCACTTAAAAATATATGTAATGTATATTGATTCAAAATTTATTAGATCGATTCCTAAGGATTTCGTTCTCAATAAGTCAACCACTATTGAAACAGAAAAAACATTTATTTTTTATTTGTGAAAGTCAATTTAAAATACATATTATTGTAGACTGAGGCAGTGTAATTTTTAATTATCTGATAAAAATTTAATAGCTAGAAATAACGTGTCTTTACACTCTCTTTTAACCATAAATAAAAATTTAAAAAAATTATATATCCACATAAAACATATAGTCATATATTGATTCAAAATGTATTACAACAATCCACAAGTAATTCGTGGTATTTTCAAAAAGTTGACAACTATTGGATCAGAAAACCATATTTTTACATTTTTTAATTTGTGAAAGTTAATTTAAAAAATACTTTTTTTAAACTGAGGCGGTGCAATTTTGCAAATATTATATTTCAATAAATATTTAATATCTAGAAGTAACCTGGGTTTTTTCATACAAAACCTACGACACTATCATTTGACCATAAATAGAATTTTAAAAAGTTACAGATCCACTTGAAATAATTATAATCATTCGATTCCAAATTTATTAGAACAGTCCACAAGAGTTTCGTGTTATTCTCAAAAGTGAACAATATTGACAAAGAAAACCATTTTTCTACATTCTGTTAAGCAAGAGTCAATTTAAAAACATAAACATAAATTAAATATATATTTTTTAGACTGAGGCAGTGGAATTTTTTATTTTTTTTCATGAATATTTAATATCTAGAAGTAATCTGTGTTTTTTCGTACAAAACCTATCACGTTATCATTTGGCCTTAAATATTGGGTTGTCCGGAAAATAATGCAGGATTTTGGTATTAAACAAAAAAAAAGAAACTAGTTACTTTAAAGCAATGTTCTTTAATCAAAATAATTTCCCATACTCTCAATACATTTCTCCCAACGTGTTGGTAACTTATTAATTCCGTCTGAGTAGAATTCAGAATTTTTAGAATTGATAAAGTCAATAAATGCATTTTCCAGTTCCGTTTGATTTTTGAATATTATGTGTTGTAAGTAGTGGTCCAGGTGTCTAAAAAAATGGTAGTCAGTAGGCGAGAGGTCCGGAGAGTAGGGTGGGTGAGGCAAAGTTTCATAGCCAAGCTCCAATAATTTTTGTGACGTTACACGTGACACATGTGGTCGAGCGTTGTCATGCAACAAAATGGGCCCTTTCCGATTGACCAAAGAGGGCTTCATTACTGCCAATTTCTGATGCATGGTATTAATTTGGTTACAGTATGATTCAGCATTGATGGTTTCGCCAGGATTTAAGAAGCTGTAGTGTATTAAACCAAATGAAGCCCACCATACCGTAACCATTACCTTTTTTTGATGAGTTGGGGGCTTTGGAAAATGTATTGGAGCTTCTCCTTTGTCGAGCCACTGTCCAGAACGTCTAGTGTTATCGTAGAGAATCCACTTTTCGTCACATGTAACAATTCTGGCCAGAAATGGGTCATTTTTGTTTCGACAAAGAAGTGATGCACAAACATCAAAGCGCTGATTTTTTTGGCGATCGTTTAATGAGTGTGGAACCCAATTTTCGAGTTTTTTCACTTTTCCAATCGCCTTGAGGTGGTCAGCGACGGTCGTTTTACTGACTTTGAGTTGCTCTGCAAGTTCTCGAACAGTTGTTTTGGGGTTTTCTTCCACCACTGATCGCAGAACATCATCATTAAGAGAGGAAGGCCTTCCACGACCTTCTTCATCTTCAAGGCTGAAATCTCCCTCCCGAAATTTTTTAAACCACCTTTGCACAGTGCACTCATTAACACAACCCTCGCCCCAGACTTGGTTAATGTTTCTAGCCGTTTGGGCTCCGCTTCGGCCGAGTTTAAACTCGTAAAAGAAAATCGTACGAAATTCTCGCTTTGACATTATAAGGATGACTGAATTATTTCCAAGTAGCGGAATGCTACAGAGGTAAACAAACAATATCATTTGGAAGAGGATTAATAAGTGTTGACATTCATACAAATGAGTAATCCTGTAAACGTAAACAGAATATTTTATATAGATTTTTTTTAATGAAAACTTAAAATCCTGCATTATTTTCCGGACAACCCAATAAAATAAAAAATATACATCTCCTCCACAAAATAATTATAATTTATAAAAAATATGCAATAAATGCAAAATCGAGTCAAAATTTATATTCCAAAGTTATTTGCAAGGGTTATTAAAAAAAAAGAAAATAGAAACCAGAAAACAATGCGTTCCTGTTTTTCTAAAATGATTGAAATTGGTTAAAGTATTGTTTTAAGCCCTTTTTTAAAGGAACCTACGCCAAGGAATAATAGTTTTTGGCCGTCTAATTTGCATACATGCTAATCCACAACCGGTCGTTGAACGGTCTTAGATGTCCCGAGGTTGAATTAAAACTACCTTGAACAAGACACCTTTATAAAATGACATTATATTTCACATTTTGTTTTTTGGGGGGCCCATCTGGTGAAAAAGTCCTACAGTTAAAATACTGTAATCGTTAAATAAAAATATACAATTCTCTATAATTTTTTAAAATCAGAGTTTCATTGTATCGGTAGGGGGAACGTTTGATGTGTGTGTGTGTGTGTGTGTGTGTGTGTGTGTGTTTGTGTGTGTGTGTGCGTATGTAGTTTTTGAGCATAAGGAATAAGTTCATGCTGTTTTTTCTCCTTCTACAATCTTGTAATTTGTCCCTAAACCTAAAGTATCTTATCTAACCTTACCTGTCCCTAACTCTAACCTCACCTAACCTAACCCATGCGCACTCCCCGGTAATGCAAAATCGATGTTCGCGCAAAAAATGTCTGCAACGAACTCAAAAACATATCCCTGTTAAAATATCGACTTAACATATCGGGAGAAGAAAAAAAGCAAGTCCCCGATGTTGAGTACTGCCTTAAGTACTGTTATGTCAATAAACAATTCCAGTAAAGAAATGATGTTTGTAGATCGACCTGCTTACTTTACATAGATGGCTTGTTCACCATATTTAACCAAATGCTGGCCATGTGCTTTATAACCTAAACCATTGCATTAGTTTTTTCCGATGAGAAAATTTTTTTCTCTTCTTTTTTGGGAAATTATGCCCTGATGTTTTTGATTGTTGATTGTAAAAATGTATATTAATTATGTATATTTTCTTAATAAATAGGCCCTGATGATGGCAACATAATGTTGCCGAAAGCTTGGTGATTCCAACACTTTTGTCCTTCTTTCACCTAGTAAAGACCTTAAAGAAGATTAACTCTACATTAATTCCAGTAAATTTAGATGATAAGCTTTATTTTTTCCATTAGACACATCGTGGATTAGCATGTGGCAAACAAATTGGCCTGTAAAATCCCTTCGAATAACGGTTATCATTCTGGTATGTCTGTCGCTCTCTGTGCGTTGTATAAACACAAAAAATGTCTTTTTTCCCCTATCAAAACACATCTGAGCACATAAAAATACTCACTGAAGTCGTTTATTACCTAATAAATCATAAGTTCATTTTCAGGCGTATAATTTAGGCCTTTTTGTTTTATTTGGTTTGTTTTTATACAATGACAATATAAATTTTCGTTTTTCTTTCTTCTTTTCCATATTAGTTTATAACGAACCTTGACCACGTGAGTGGTTAAATCAAAAATTTGTCTCATGAATGATCATGGCATGTGTATATTCCCTTCTTTTTAAAAATATTTTTTTTTTTTTAAACAGACGACTGAAATCACTTTCGCGATCTTGGTGATATTAACGCACGTACAAGAACCCTACTTGACATAAGTCTAGCAAATACTAACAAA